AGACCCCATAGCACACCCATGTTTCTGCCTATAATATTGCTCCCCATGTTTTTCCATTCAAACTTTATTTAAACAGATAAATCACATTGAGCCTCGAAGACTCATTTACAAGTGAGACCTGTTTGGACAGACAATAAAACTGGTTAACTGGACACATGTAGGAGTTGGAGGCGAAAAAAATTCCTATCACACTTTTTTCTTGCCTGAGGAAAAAAAAACTAATATTAAAAAAACACCTCGCACAAACAAGCACATATTTACGTAGACATTCTGCAATCGGAGACGAGAGCGGTCAACAATGATTATAGATGCTCTCGAGGTCACTGTAATCAGTTAATGTCCTCCGGTGAGATCCATAAACATTTTCGAGGGATGTCGAGGAATGGCCAAGGATAACATCTGAGAATCCAAGAGTCCTGAAATAATGACAAAGTTTTTTCAGCTGGTTCATCTGGTTATCAGTGGAAATTCTTCAGGGAGGTGATGATGAGCGTCAGATCACATTTTCTCCAGGCGAATTCAGATAAGATGTCCTTCAAGGCCAGCCAGGGGAGCCAACTTAGATAAACACACAATTGTTTTGGGGACAGGCAGAACTTAATGACATCTACCTTCAGTCTGTGTCGGTTTACTCAGTTCTGAAAAATCCCCAAGATCTGATCCATTCTGCCCAAAGCATTTGAGTCCGGGTACTCGAGACATGAACCAAGCCATCATAAAGGCAAGCAGCGTGATCGGGTCCAAATTTGCTGCTGACGACTTCCTTGATTGTTGATAAAAACCAGCACCAGCTGAATCCAAAAAGCAGGAACCAGTTATCGTGAATCCAATTAAATATGCGTCCTTAAAATCCACAGATGGCAGCAGAGATAGACACATCATCAAGTTTTCCAGTCAATGAGATATCCAGCTGCGTACGTGCCAACAGGGTAAATCAGCTCGCCTAAAGCCTGTCTTCTCTTCAAGAAATGTTGTAAATTGAGTTGAGGGACCAACTGATCAAAACAAGTACATATTTATGGTTTGGAAGATATGAAAGAGAGTCTCACAGCAATTTCAAAGACAGACAGAGCAGCAAAGCAAAGCGGAGAGGGAGGGGGGGAAGCATCCGATCTCGTCGAGAGCAAGTGGTGAAGTAGGTTGACTGCAGGCACAGTTTCAAGAGTTGACACAGTTGTTCTGTGGAAAGCGTGGTCCTGCTGCTCAGAGTGGTGTCTGATTTTAATCTTAAACTGACCACCTCTACTGCATCATCAACAGGAATGCACGTAAAGAGTGATGTGACATCAAAAGAGACCATTGTTTCATCAGTCTCCATGATGACATCCCTCACCTTATCCACAAAGTCCATGGTGTTCTGTATGTGGTGTTCTGAGCTGCCAACTAAAGGGATGAGTACAGACATCAGATATTTGGAAACATTGTAAGTGACAGAGTTAATCTTGCTAACAATAGGTCTTAAAGGTACACCTTGTTTGTGGATTTTAGGTAAACCATACAGACTAGGTGTGGCCTCCCCCGGGTACAGTCTGTGGTACAGAAAACTGTCAATAGCCTTGTCCTGCTCCAAAATTTTCAGGCAATCTATCAACTTCTTCTTGTAACCACTTCCTGGATCTCTTTTCAGAGGTTCATAAGTGTTTAAGTCACTAAGGAGTGTCATAACTTTCTCATGATAGTCTTTCTGGTTCAAAATCACTGTGCACCTTCCTTTGTCTGCTGGGAGAATGATGATGTTTTTGTCCTTGCTAAGAGTGGTGAGTGCATCCCTCTCCTCTCTACTGATGTTGGAAGGTGGTGGTTTGGCATTGCTGAGGCAGGATGAAACTTTGATTCTGAGCTGTTCTGCTTCACCCTCTTTCATTTTGTTGTTGCCGTTGGCTGATTCAGTAGCTGTGATCATCTCCACCAGAGGAATTCTACTTGGTGCAACCGCAAAGTTCAGTCCCCTGGCAAGAATCTCTATCTCCGGCTGGTTGAGCTGTCAGATAAATTCTTCACCCACTTTTCTGTCTCCCTGGCATGTAACTGACTACTGGAGTGTTGTCCTACACTGAATGTGTTGTTATTGGAATAGTGATGGTGTTGATGAGTTATTAGTAAGTTAAACTTATTTTGTTGTCGAGTCTTGGACTTGACATGCTGTGCCAAGCGTGCCTGATCTGTACAGTCCAACACTTGCTGACGTGTGGTCTGATCTAGGCATGTTGTTAGTTTCTAGTGCCTAGATCAGACCACCATCAAGTTCACACAAGATGATGTAAAAAAAATGGCAAGTTGGCTTTCTTGGACTGTGAGGTCTCAGTCTCTGATAGAGGACATTTGTAAACTGAGGTGTACCGCAAACCCACCCACACAGACCAGTATTTGCAGGCTGATGGTCCTTCTTGAGCATGTGATCAGCTGGTTTTGGTTGTCAGCAGCAAACTGGTTGATCCACTCTGAGAAGGTGCTGTTTAAGAGACTGAGCTGAATACAGCTCCTCAGACTGAAGAAGTCTTTTGAATTAAAGATGAAATGGTTCAACTTTTTTTACTTTATTTTTTTGCATCTGTCCAAAGGACCTAGCTTAACTTTGTTATATTTTTCTACCTGAATTGTTGAGCATGAACCAGGAAACTTCATCATGTGTTGATCTTGTCCTACCTGCTGGAACTGAGGTGAGTTGAGTGTGTTCTGGATCTCCTCAGAACTCTGTGGTAAACTTTCCCCACTGGGGAGGAAAGGAAGGAGTCTCTGCCGTACTTCAGGGTTACTAAGGATGGGAGCCATCATCTCTGGGGTGCAAACACTGGCCAGGTCCACTAGAGAACATCAGAAAGCTGTTAGCTGGCCTCATGTTTAATCACTCCCCTTCATGCCATGACAAAACAGGTAATTAATGAGTCACTAACCCCCTGGTCCTTGAGCAGCAGCTGCTGCTGGGACGTTCATGTTGGCGAGGATGCTCTGAAGGTCACTGAGCTGGATGGGCTGATGAGGTGGAGGACTTCCAACAGAGACTGGGGCCACTGGTGTCTGAGCTGATGCTGTAAATAAAACAAGAGTCATTATGTTATAAATAGACTGTACTTATATAGCACCTTTCTATCTGATCAAGACACTCAAAGCTCTTTACAACAATCTGTGACTCATTGACCCATTCATACAGCCTATACTAGAGCTCTACAAAGATAATTGAACAAATCATTCTAAAGAAAAGACTAATCAGAGCTTTATCACATTCATACACTGATGGGACACACATCAGAGGCCTCGAGGGATTCAGTGTCTTGCCCAGGGACACTTCAGAATGTGACTGCTGGTGGAATCGAACCCCAACTCTTGTATTGGAGGACGACTGCTCTAACTACTCAGCCACAGCCGCCCATAACTATAATTATCATAATATTGGTGATTTTTCTCTTATAGCCGGGGGGCAGGGTACTGAACCCCCGCGATAAAGCAGGGGCTTCTGTATGTGATAAAGTATCTCCACAAACACTAATGTTTTACCAGGGATTAAAGCTAATAACATTCTAATAACATTATTTTTACTAAAAATATGTTTTTCAACAATTTCAACAATTTCATTTCAGTATTTCCAGGGCTTGATTTGTAAACTGATTGATGCCGGTGCTACACCATATTCTGTGACCACCGTATAGTGCGACTGTAGGGGGCGCCGTTGCATTTTTACATAATACTTTGCAATATATGATAAACAGTATCATATTCTGTGACTGTCTAGTCATGATTTTAGTGGGCAGATGTTACTTTTTATTCTTTGGAGGAAGGAGGCTGACATCCTCCAAAGATTAAAAAGTAAAATCTGACCACTAAAATCATTACTATTATGGAAATACAGGCGGTCACAACTTAGAGAACTTGGACTTGGAGAAGGCGTTCGACCGCGTCCCTCGAGGGACCCTGTGGGGGGTACTCTGGGAGTATGGGGTACCGGGCCCTTTGATACGGGCTGTTAGGTCCCTGTATGACCGGTGTCAGAACCTGGTCCGCATCGCCGGCAGCAAGTCGGGCTTGTTCCCGGTGAGAGTTGGACTCCGCCAAGGTTGCCCTTTGTCACCGATTTTGTTCATAACTTTTATGGACAGAATTTCTAGGCACATCCAAGGTGTTGAGGTGATCCATTTTGGTGGCCTTAGAATTGCGTCTCTGCTTTTTGCAGATGATGTGGTCCTGTTGGCTTCATCAGATCATGATCTATAGCTTTCGCTGGAGCGGTTCGCAGCCGAATGCGACGCGGCCGGGATGAAGATCAGTTCCTCCAAATCCAAGGCCATGGTCTTGAGCCGGAAAAGGGTAGAGTGCCCTCTCCGGGTCAGGGAGGAGGTCCTACCCCAAGTGGAGGAGTTCAAGGATCTTGGGGTCTTGTTCACAAATGAGGGAAAAATGTAGCGTGAGATCGATAGGCGGATAGGTGCAGCGTCTGCAGTGAAGCAGGGGCTATACAGGTCTGTCGTGGTGAAGAGAGAGCTGAGTCAAAAGGCGAAGCTCTCAATTTACTGATCGATCTACGTTCCCACCCTCATCTATGGTCACGAGCTTTGGGTTGTGACCGAAAGAATGAGATCTCGGATACAAGCGGCCGAAATGAGTTTTCTCCGCAGGGTGTCTGGGCTCTCCCTTAGAGACAGGGTGAGAAGCTTGATCATCCAGGAGAGACTCAGAGTAGAGCCGCTGCTTCTCCACGTCGAGAGGAGCCAGTTGAGGTGGCTTGGGCATCTGTTTAGGATGTCTCCTGGACGCTTCCCTGGTGAGGTGTTCCGGACACGTCCCAGAGGAAGACCCAGGACACGCTGGAGGGACTATGTTTCTCGGCTGGCCTGGGAACGCCTCGGGATTCCCCCGGAAGAGCTGGCCCAAGTGGCTGGGGAGAGGGAAGTCTGGGCCTCCCTACTTAGGCTGCTACCCCCGCGACCCGACCCCGGATAAGCAGAAGAAAATGGATGGATGGAGGCGGTCACAAAATATGATAGCGCTTATCAGATATTGTGACCACACTGCAACTTATAGAAAAACATTAAATACTTGAGCCAAACTGTTTCTGCTGACTCTCTACTTCCTCTAAGGAATAAAAATTAACATCTGACCACTAATATCATGAGTTTGCAAAGTATGTTGTAAAAATGCAACAGCACCTCCTACGGTCACAATATACGGTGGTCACAGAATATGGTGTAATACCGGAACAGCAGGCAGGCCCGGTGGGGGGTGTTAATGAGGCAGGGTGGGGGTGTCTGTGGATCCTCTCAGAAAATCGTGAATAACAGAGATGCCATTTCCTGCATTTTGGTGTATTTTAACAGGTTGTTATACATCAACATTTACCTACATTTGTAAACACTAGGGCTGCAACAACGAATCAATAAAATCGATTATTAAAAGTGTTAGCAATGAATTTCATTATCAATTCGTTGTGTCGCGCAATTAAGCGTCTCTCACGGCGCTGGGGAGCCGTTTTGTTCACCTGCAGTTCATTGTCAATGCTGACTGACTGAATAAAGTTTGAAAAGAAAAAAACCTCTGCAGTGCGAGTTGAACAGAGCGAGGAGGAAACAGAGCAGAGGCTGTTTTCAAAGGAAATTAAGTAAATTTTACAAATGACTGACACAGAGAAAACTGTTCGACCCAAGTCCTTAAAAGTGTGAGAGCTCTTGACAAAGATAAAACCTGAGAAACATGCAGCTTTGAAAAGTGACGACACGACACGAGAGAACCACGGAGATAAACGTAAACATGTGGGAGTCACGAGGAGGAGGAAGGAGCTGCAGCTGATACAACTCTTCATGTGTTGCAGGTGAGTCTCTACAATTTAACACTTTGTTCTGTTTCAAGAGAGAAAACGTAACGTCTGTCTCTCTGGTAGATGAAGCTGTTTGTTTGTTTGTTTGTTTGTTAGATGATTAATGACAGTGATGGAGAATGTGTGTGTTACTTTTTATTTAATTTAATTGGTACAAGCAGTGTTTAAATGTGATTTATAAATAAATCTAACACAAAGATAATAATTTAATGATTAAGCTTCAACTTTTAATTTGCTGGCAAAGTCTGAAGACACTGCAGGTATGGCAGGATGAATTGCATTTAAACATGAATTAAAGTAATTTATTACATCTACTCAAATGTGTGTAATTAAGTATTTTATATGTGTGTGTGTGTGTGTGTGTGTGTGTTTAATTGCTCTTTTAGCTACTTTTGCCTGAACCTAACACTGTAAGTGAAACAAGGCATTTCTTGAGTTGCTGTAAATTATGATATAAAACATATTTACTGTCTCATTCCAGAAAACAACAACAAACAACAACATCCTTCATGATGGACAGACATCATGGACACCACAGCAGCAGCTGTCTTCACTGAAACATCCTGAACATGATCGTCACTGACA